GTGTGGGGGGTGGTGACTGGACGAAAGCCTTCTTTTATTCTCATTCTAGTCTTTATCTCTCTCTCTCACACAAACATCCGCTGTCTGTGCCGTCTTCCTCGCTCTGTCACTCTTATCTGTCCTACCATGCTGCCACCCACTTTCCTTTGCTCCTTAATTCTGTCTTGTCCATTCAGTATTCCCCTTTCTCTCATTTTCTTTCTGACTCCTGCTCTATCTTGCTTTTCCCTGTGAGCTTTGAGTCTGTCACGCAGTGCAGAGCAATCGGCATGGGTGCGGCCCCAGACCAGCCTCTGAAGGACAGATAAAAATAGGGGTTTAGTAACTGCTGCAGGATGGGGAGAAGGAGGGGAAAGAGAAAAAGAATTAGAGATAAGAGAATCTAAATGTGGAAAACAGAGTGTGAAACACAAGAAGGAAAGGCAGTTGAAGAGTGAGTAGAGAAGTGAAGCTTGGTGCAGGGCTGGGCGACAGCAGGGGGTCCTGGGAGCTGCAGGGAGGCGGTTCGAAGGATGTGAATGATCTGTGAATGGACTGTCTGCTACACTGCATCAATAAAGGGGAGAATCGATTCAGGCTGTGGCATGCTGTTAGCTATCTCAATAGCAAATGCATTTTACTGCTTCTTCACAAGGGACAGTACCACCACACAGACCTGGCTCAAATAGTCTTTGCAGATCCTACTGTGAGTGTTCACACGGCGAGGATAGTGGTTCTTACTGCAAACAAATGCCATAGAGCCAATTTCTTATAGGAAGAGGGGTTTCCATTGTTCAGTAGTGAGGGACACATCTGACCCCATATGGAAGCTCCACTTAATTTTTGCACTACAATTGTGTACAATTATTATGTATGTTCATTTGAGGGTTTTTCATTCTTTAAGCCAAGCAGACACTGTACAAATTTATTGAGCGTATATACAATGTGTTAACTCAGACTATATGTTTAAATTGGCCTGACCACATGGCCAGAATCCTTGACCTCACTGTTCACACTGTGCATTCACTCAGTCGGGCGCGACAGGAGAGCTCACACTGGACATTTAAACAGAACCCCGGAGCAGGTGTGTTCATTCAAACACCTGGTCAACCAAAAGGAAAACAGCATTGCTTCTAGCCTTTTTTCTTTGTACAGTTGATGAACAGCTGTAATCTGCAATGTACATCTGTCACCTTTCAATGATGCACGACGACATACACACAACAGTTTCTGGTTTAAGAAAAATAGTGAAAATGCAAAGCAAGACAGACCACGTCAAACCGTGTGGATATGCTTAGTGATAGTTAAGGTCTATGGCTCATTAGGGTCCAGTAGTGGAAACACAGCTTAAATTTAGTTTGGTGCAACTGAATTGGATCTAAAATCGAGCCGAATCCGTACAGTGTCTACTCGGCTTTAGGCAGACTTACATCATGTAGAATGGTGTAGATTTCATCCACGTTTGTGCAGTTATTTTGTGTCATGGATTTTCATGGCTTCAGCTAGGTAGCTAGCTGCTGATGTTGATGGTATGTGCACAAACAGGTGCATAGAATAGCACACATTTTATTTAAGCTTGTAACCTATACATTAGCAATCACATGACTTGACTGTCTAGGATTCTTGCCCCACATGACAAAGCACACATTTTCTTGTTGAAACAGGTTCAAATAACGAGCAAATGCTACTTAAATCAGGTCTGAAAACACACCCATTAATTGTAAGCAGAAGAAAGGATGACACAAATGTGGTGTGCATTTAGACAAATATGTGTTGAAATGTCATGAATGAGTTTCTACACCAAATTAAATGTATGCATGACTTACCACGTCTCAATGATCGGTGAGCTACCAAACCCAAGCAAAAAAAACAAAGATTTCAGAAACATGTTGATGGTGGAGAAAAACAGAACCAACAAAAACTCCACTGATACAGAAAATCTCTTTGCAAAAAATTATTGAAATCAAACCAGCCTTTACATCCTGAGGCATGTGATGTACACTTGTGTGAATGATTGCACATGATCTGCTTGCCATTTTACAGCTGTATTGCCTGGTTGTTTCAGTTTGCTTGGGGGGGCGGGGGCCTATTCTACAAATGTGTTTTGCATATCTTTGTGTCTATTCTGGCTGTTGAATTCAAGCCATAGACCCTGACCTGAAGCTTTTTTCATATTAGTGCTTGAAACATCATATGAAACAAATGACAAGATAAGAGTGATTTAATAGACAGTGCATATTCAGCTTATGGCTTCCTTCCTTTCCTTTTATCTCTGCTGTCTCCAGCCTCTACCTTACATCCTTATGCAACTGCTATTCCTCACACCTGCCAGTCTACAACCCCAGGCCCTGGCTCCCTCACAAGAGTTAATCTGAACAACAGCTGAATGACATCAGTAATAAAAAGCACTTCATGGTGATGCTCCTCACGTGGAGCATGATGTTCCGGTGAAAAACTCTGTTTTTGAGATATCAGGAGGGAACCTCACAGGTTTAATATGCTCTGTTAACCAGACGACAGGATGACCTCGACTCAACATTAAATAAGGCTCATATTTCCTTTTAAAAATGGAGAGGTGGACAGTGAGAGCAGCCTGGTCCCTCTCACAGAAAAATGTGGGATGTAATATTGTTATGATTCAGTCTTCAACAAAAAACCTATTTTCAATAACAGAATTAAATTGCAGTGGGGTGAACTGAAAAGAGGACCATGTCAAGGGGTTTTTCACACATCAGTGTCAAGCACTATATTAATGTTACTGCTCAGGTCCAGGCTTCATCTCAAGTACTGAACTGAGCTGTGGATTCACTTCAGTATTTCCCTCTCACGCTACTTGTTCTTACCATTCTTAGGTGTGCGTGTAGGGCTACCTAGAGGCACATGGTTATAGTTGTGCTGATGGGTACCTGCAATGACAAAAGCAATGAAAGACCTGTTCAGTGTCCATGAGGAATGCTCTGGATCAGCTCAAATACAGACTGTTAGTAGTGTGAGGGTGGAAATTAAAGAGATAATTCACTGAAATCCTGTGGCATTTTGATTTATAAACTTTTATAGTGTAAACAAGTCAGGATGCCACATCACCATTCTTCAGCTGCTGGCAAACTCATTTAATTGGTGAAATAATTTCCCTTTAATTTCCTCAAATTAAGGCAATGGACATAGAAAAGATGAGAGCACTTGGGGAATGTGTGAAAGTAGGTGGAGTCCGCTGTAACCTCAGTGTTAGGCTAACAGAATATCAGACAGAATCAAACAGAATCCAGAAAGTTAGAGGCTACAGATAAGACATTATGGATGAAAAAGTAAAGAAGAAGAAACAAGGCTAGCATTCAATATTTATCACATCCTGCCCTGGAACATGTAGGTGCTCACTTTATTTAGAAAGAGACTACATGAATCCATGCATTCATCATATTAAAAGATGCCTCAAATGTAGGGTGGCCACCACAAGAAACCACCAGTTGAAAGAGAAAACAAGCGAAGAAAACAACTTCACCATGCTGACAGAATATACATAGCATTCAGCAAAAAGCTGCAAATGAATAAAACAAACAAACTGAGAAACACATGGCCCATTTTTGCATCACATGAGTTAAGAAGAGAATGTGCAACTCCATAGACATCAGCTTTTATTTACAGCCTGTGGTGCTGCCTCAAAGTCTGAAAAGTATATAAATAAATAAATACATCGGCCATGCAGGCCCAGTTAATATTATTTCCTAGAGCTTTCATTTACAAAGTCTTCAGGTATTCGGTGCACTTTGGGCAGTTGTTTGTCATGTTATAACGTGATCAAATTTCTATACTTAAATGACAAGACACCCGCACAAGCTCCATTTGATGATGAAGACCATGGGATGCAGTTGAAAAAGTAAATAAGCAGACCTGGACATAATATATTTTTTTCAAAATCTGCTAATCTGTGAATGTTTGTCATTTTGCTTGTGTTTTATTTGAGTAGCTTTTTGCTGCTACATATGATGGATATGTTGTCACAGCGGTGAAGATGTTTTCTTCCATTTACATACACTGAGGTTGAAATCATTAAAGCTGGTTCTTTAACCTCTCCACAAAAGCCAGGTTAACAAACTCTCATTTTGGCAAGTCGGTTAGGACATGTACTTTATGAATGACAAAAAAAAAAGTCTGGATCATCCTCGAGAACAATTTTCAAATGCCTGAAGGTTCCACATTCATCTGTACAAACAATACTGTGCAAGTGTAAACACCATGGGACAACACAACCATCATACTGCTCAGGAAGGAGACGCGTTCTGCCTCTTAGACTTACCACATAAATGTAAGATAAAGATAAGTATGGTACGATAAACGTACTTTCGTCTGAACAGAAAAAAATCAATCCCAGGAAGATGTGGAATTGAAGCAACATCTCAAGACATCAGCCAGGAAGTTAAAGCTTGGTCACAGTGGGTCTTCCAATGGACAAGTAGCCCAAGCAGACTTCCAAGGTTGTGGCAAAATGGCTTAAGGACAACAAAGTCAAGGTATTGGAGTGGCCACCACAAAGCCCTGACCTCAGTCCAATAGAAAATATGTGGGAAGAACTGAAGAAATATGTGTGTGTGAGCAAGGAGGCCTATAAACCTGACTGAGTTCCACCAGTTCAGGAGGAATGGGTGAAAATTCCAGCAGCTTATTGTAAGAAGCTTGTGGAAGGCGTCCTGAAACGTTTGACCTAAGTTCAACAATTTAAAGGCAAAGCTACCAAATACTAACCGAGTGTATGTAAACTTCTGAAACACTGGGAATGTGATGGAAGAAATAAAAGCTGATTTTTTTTTCTGTTGTCTGCATTGTTTATTGCCTGTTTATACTGTTTATTTTGCATTGTTTGCATTGTTTATTGCTTGTTTATAGTGTTTTGTTTTGTTATACTACACAGTCTTATGTTGGTATATTGTTTATTTGCCCCTTGCATGGGGATATGTACATGCACATTGAGAGCCACTGTACCAGAGTCAAATTCCTTGTGTCCAATAAAACTGATTCTGATTCTGAAATCAAACTTTTTCTCTGCTGTTATTCTGACATTTCACATTGTTAAAATAAAGGAGTGACACTAACTGACCTAAGCTGGAATGTTTATAGGATTAAATGTCTGGAGTTGTGAAAAACTGATTTTAAATGTATTTGGCTGAGGTGTATGTAAACTTCTGATTCAGCTGTATATACATTTTTGTAAACTACACTTCTGAAATTCATTTTAATATTCACACAGTGTAGTCCTCCAGCTCTGTGCATTGCCCTTTTCTCTTTGACTCTCTGTGCATGAAGATGGACTAATCCGCAGGAAGAGTTGTCTATGGTGTCATCTGGGAGAGCAGAGCCATTTTAATTTTTTACTCAGAGAATAAAAAGCAGTTTCACCCAATCATCCATCCGCCCCACTGTGCAGGAGTGTTTGTGTGTGACAGTGCTCGGCTGGGCACCACAGCGTGGAGGTGCTTCAGTTGAAAGATGGGACCTTTACTACTGCCCATTGTACTGAGAAAGTTGATGAATGACAGTTATTGTCGGCAGTGTGTAGGAACGTGTGCGTGCATGAGTATGGGTTTGTATGTTTGTATGAGGAGGCAGCAATAGATGGAGGCCCCGTCATAAAGTGTTGCGGTCGCGGCACGTTCATTTGCTGTCTGCTGCTGTGCCTGTTTAAAAATGCATTAGAGCCAACTGTTGAAACATCCATTTACATCTGTCAAAGAAGTGGAGGAGGAGAGGGAGGCTGCTGCTCTCATATCACGAGTTTCAATATTTGCTCAAGCTATAGAGATAGATGGGATGTGTCTTCTGTGTGTTCCTTCACTGAGTTTCTCGTTTTCATAAAATACTTACGAGTGACTCTTACAAGGAAGGTTCAAGGGGAGAAATGTGCAGACATCTGAGACTGTGTCTCCTGAATATGTTAAATTAACAACATTGTAATATACAGGATATGTACATGTAAAGTGCTGGGCCACCACGTGCCACCAGAACAGCTTCAGTGCACCTTGCCTCTGGCTCTCCAATCTCTGAACTCTCCTGGAGGGATGAACACCATTCTTCTATAAGATATTCGCTCGTGGTGTTTTGATGGTAGTGGTGGAGATGCTGTCTAACATTCCACACATTCCAGATGCTGTCTAACACTTGATCCAATATCTAGTTGTTCAGACTGTGAAGGTCATAGCATATGATTCACATCATTTTCATACTCATCAAACCATTCAGTGACCCCCCATGCCCTTCGGATGGGGGCCCTGTCGTTCTGGAAGAGACCACTCATCTCTTTAGGTTTTTCCATTAACTTGTGACAGGTCTGTATATCTGTTTAGTTAATAAGAGTGACTGAGCTTATAATCAAGATGTAAAAGCCCTAACCCTAATACCTAACCCAAGACAAAGGAGCTGCCAAAGGAAAAACACACACACTCAAAGTACAGCATATTGTGTTTTCAGTAAAAAGAAACTATTTCTGAAAGTGCGGACAATTTAGTTGAGAATCTGTGGATGTGTGGTTTTTGTGAAAATTTATTCATTGTGAAAGTAATCTCTGTAATTTCTACTATGATGATTTTAGCACAAATTACATCCTTTCCAAATAGACTAATAATAATTAATACTTTCTACTCTTAAATGTGAAAAAAAAAAAATTAAGGCAGTTTCCCCACACTTTTACAGTCCCATATATAGTACAACCTAATCATTTCAGATACAGATGAACTGCTCAATTCACAAGAATGAATTCACTTGCTTGACCCTTATGTCTCATGAGACAGACCATGAAATACCAGCAACTTTCTCAATCAGTCAGCACTTATACATACAGTACGTACAGTATACCAGTGCAACAACAACATGGAACAACACACCTCTATACAGACTAATTTAATCAAACTGATTATCTGAGGCATGTTTTAAGCAGCATGTGATTAAGTAAAATTAATGAATGGAGAAGAGTGCAAAGACATGCTTCAGAAATCACTGTGGGTGGGTAAATATAATCTGAAGCAACCTGGGAATGATGCATTCATCATAAATCAGCATAAACCATGACTCGAGGCTCTTCCCCACATAATAGTAAATTAGCTGCTGTTCAGAATAAAAATGCAGTCTATATTTATTGTATAATAACATAATAAACTTTATATTTATTTTATTTATCATCTTTATATTACTGAGGGTTGTGGCCCTTGGTATCAGATCAAAACAACCACATATATATATCTGAAGGGAAAAATACCTAAAGGTCCTGATATAAAAATGGTACCAAAAAACAAATGCTAAAATAGATGATCACTAGTTCTGAAACTTGTAGCATCTCTGCAGCACTAACGGCACCAATAATGAAACCTCCCAGACTTCATTATTTCATATCAGCATAGCTTCCTGTCTTTCGCTTAAAAGCTGAGTTAGCGAAGCTGGACCTGGAACAATACTACGGAATGCTCTTGAGCTCTAAGAAGTTTTGTCTCAATCTAGTGATTTCCACTCTAAACCCACTCTGAAGGGTCCAAAGAGACTGTGCACTGAGAAGAAGCATAAGACTGTAGCTCATTAGGAGCCTGGACACCCATGGAACCAAGGAAGAGACCCAGCACTCCAACCTCTCAGAGCTTATCAGCTCAGAACACCACATGGCACCATCATACCTCTTGCCTCTTTGAGCTGACATGGCAAAATAACCTCAGCACAGTAGATAACCATGGAGCAGCTCAGAAACCTGCTTGTCACTGATGAAGGGAGCTTACAGTGGAGGGTAGGATCTCCCCGGATGCACTGCTGCCCATTAGTTATTGCCTTCATCTCCTTAAACTGGCACATTAAACGAGATGCAAAGCCAGCGCTGCTCTGTAATCATGCAGTGGCCTCATTATTTGTGATTGACATGCTCTCCAGATTGTTG